TGTCTTTTTTTATTTAAACCGTGAGAATGTTTATGATTGGTTCATTTTTATTAACTTTATATGCCAAAAAATGTAAACTGCCTGTATTTTTGCTTTTCATTTTCTGAATGGGCAAGATATGGCATCTTGCCCATTCAGAAAATGAAAAGTAAGCAACAAATACATGTCTATTAATGGCTATGGTGTCATGGTTGAAAGAATAGGGCAGAGGTAGATTGGCTCTTGGACTACCACAGTTTTCAATCTTTACAGGAATTACTTTTATGAGATAGAATTTTGACTCTATAGTTAAGATGTATCTATTAAGGCAATTTTTTACCCAAAATGTAAGAGTTTTTGACTTGATATATATTCTTATAAATGTACATCAAAACCATTAAAACATGACTTTATTATTATTCAGCGTCTCATTTGCCCCTTTTACTATTAAAAAAAACATAAATGATTTATTTTACCTTATACTGCTTATTCCTATACTCTTGCCAGGGCTCAGGGTTGGTCTTGCGGTTCCATGTAACATCGGGAGAGCGTGTGGCAAGGCGCAGTAGGTAGAACACAGCCCCAGCTGCACCCACGCCCGTGCACACATAAAGCGGGATCAACTGAAAATTAGACTTTATTTTATTGCCTATCTAATTATTTTAGCCTTTGCTGTTAATACAGTTTCAATTGCCTTGTAATGACAACAAAGACAGTACTAAATAGGTTTATTCTTTTACATGTCAACTGTTTTCCATAAAAGTCTAATAAATGTGGATCAATATGTATAAACTAAATGTTTTTTTATTGCAGTTATGTAATATATTTGAAACTACAATTAACTGTTGAGGCACAAACATGCTAAGACATTAACATCTGTGGGAAGTTTTGAAATAACCTGAATAGGTATCAGAAACTCTGGACAACACAGATTCACTACAAGAATGCAAAATCAATAAATGCATGTAACAATCCAGACTGTGAATTAATAGTGCAATCATTTTTTTATCCTTAGCCAGCTACAATTATTTTCATTTAGAAAAAACAGAGATGCACACCATTTAGAATTTAACCTTATTACACGAAAATTAGTTTTTATTTGACAATGAATGTATTTAAGTTTGAAAAAGAAAATGAAAAAGTTACAATGTAACTAAAATTTTAATCAATGTCTTTAATAAAATTATTAATACACTGTGACTGCAAAACAGTTAAGTGGAAAACGTAATAATCAGCTACCAATTTTAAAACAAACATCGATTTTTCTCCGCCCAGAGCTTACACTCAGTCCGCAATGCGTCGTTTGTCTTCAGTTATGGACTGTGGCTGTGGTATAATGTTAATTAAATACAAACATTGTTCTATACTGACTGCCATACACTAAAATGTCAAACACTTCAGCATAATACCGTAAATTTATTTCCATCAATAAGGAAAGAAAATGATTTTGGTAGGGCATTTGGCAGGTTAGTTATGTAAGAAGTAGGTGGAAAATAATAAAAATAAAGATAACGTATTATTAAATATACTAACCGCCTTATGCTTCTTTAAGCTCTGGAAACTCAAACCTTGCATTTTAATTCCTTCTGGCTTATTCAATATATAAACGGTCGACCAAATATGCAACGCAAAAAGATCAGAATGATATGATTCTGAATCGGTTTTTGTTGGTCTTGGTCTTGGTTGTCAGACTTTAGGGATGTACATATATTTCCGTAAAATCGGTTTTTGTTCACTTGTATGAATCGAGTAATTTTCTAAAAATCGCTTTTGAAAACTATATTACAAAGTTTATTCGAAATGTAGATTTTTACAGATGTTAAAAAAATGTGTTATACGTTTGAATTTTCGACACCACTAGATTGCATGTATTTCTGAAAGGAGATAAACAAAAACGGTTTTTTTTTTCAAAAGTCAATTAGCAAGAAAAATATGAAGAACGAGAAAAGAAACCATAATAGTAACACGTTCTTTTTTTTGAACCGCAGATTTGTTTTAAATTGATGTTTGGAATGTAGGTAAATAAAGTTTTTACATCGTAACAAAAGTTTGGATCGCTAGTAACAACTGGTTCGATTGAATCGATTAATATGTAAAATAGGAAGTTTCGGAAATCGATTTTGTAGTCAACGACCATTCCTACGTGACAGAAGTACTGTGTCCTCAATGTTGCCAGGTGGTAGCCTTTCATCCAACCAATAATTAAATCCCTATAAAACGCAGAGTTGGAGCTTTCTCATATCACTAAAATGTCAGTAATTAAAAAAAAACTGTTTCAACTCTGCAATTTCATTTTGCCAATGGGAGCAGATGACGTTGTCGTTTTATACGGTCTATATGTATACTTACTTACTTTCGGTATGTTACAAAGTACTCTGTGATGTATACTCTTTGATTCTGACGTTGACGTAATGCAAAAAGCAATAAACTTTTGACAGTTGACGTTTGACAATTACATTAATTATTTTATTGTTTTAGTCTAACCTATTTTTAATGATTTGGTGCTATATAAGAAGACGATAATTAAGTTTACTTGGATAAATTAATTTAAGACCACAATGAGCTTTTTATTGTAAGTAAAAAAACTTTAGCTTTAGATGTATCTATATCTATTTTTAACTGGTTTTCTTCCGCTGAACTGGCATCGTTGTTTACGTTTCCTTCGAGCGAGCTATGATCATATGGTGCTGATGCATCATAACGCCTAATAACTTACTTTCCTAAATCTTGACTAAAACTTATTAAAAATTGATGTTGGGAGAAAAACTATGTTTAATTATGTTTTTTAAAGAGTTTTTAGCGTGTCATCATCAGCTCACTATACGTCCCCACTGAGGGGCTCGGAGCCTCCCATAAGTTAGGATAACTAGGCCTTAGTCCACCACCAATCTTTGAATACCACAATATTTTTAACAACCAAATATCTTTGCATTTCATGATGTCTTTTCTTCACCGTAAAAAAATCGTATCGATTATGTACATAGAAAATTTGTCAAATCGAAAATCACATTGGTACATGGCAAGATTTGAACCCAGGACCTGTGTTATGAGTCAAGTGCTCAAACCCCTGAGCTCCTGATACTCTTTCATTAACTGATTTTATTTGATTTTGTTAATAGCTTACCATTAGTTAATGTGATTTTTCTACATTGTATGATGTAAGGAATGTGTAAGGTAGGACAATGTTTGTACTTGCAGTGGGAGTCGATCTAATAAAACTTTTAAGCCTAAAAAAAATATCCCTGAGGGAACACATCAATATGACTTGATGCGACATGCTGCCGCCACACTCGGCTCAGGCAATCTGAGGCTAGCTGTCATGCTTCCCGAAGGGGAGGACCTCAATGAGTGGGTTGCAGTCAACAGTAAGCATTTTATTTGAATTTACTCATTCTCTCTAATATTATTAAATCAATTTTCTAAATGAAAAATTCCCGCATGTGACTCATACTCTTATCTAAGATTGTATTTATATCTTAAGTTATTAAAGATGCTTTACTTCAGTCATAGTTTCTATTTAACATTTTAAACAAATGTGTTTTATTATATTTTGCTTATGGTCAATGTTATTGAGGATAATTATATAATTCCAGTTGACTTTATATTTCCTCTGTAACAACAACACTTGATGAGGTCATCAGTGACATGTTTACCTCATGACATCAGCACATCACTAACATGGACTAACATGTTACTGCATTGTTTAAGTTACTATTGCTATTGATACAAGTTTGAATCTCTTACAACAAATAAATAAAACTGAATATTTCTGTTTGGTCATTGTTGGTATGTTTATCAGAAGGTTTGTTTTGTGACAAGAGATGTGTTGCAGCGGTTGACTTCTTCAACCAGATAAACATGCTGTACGGCACCATCACGGAGTTCTGCACGGAAGAGTCGTGTGCGGTGATGTCGGCCGGCCCCAAGTACGAGTACCACTGGGCCGACGGACACACCGTCAAGAAGCCCATCAAGTGCTCCGCGCCCAAATACATCGACTACCTCATGACCTGGGCCCAGGATCAGCTCGACGACGAAACCCTCTTCCCTTCCAAAATAGGTAAGCGGTCAGCTCTGTTTGCTAAACAAAAAACCTGAAAAAA